CTCTCTCTCTCTCTCTCTAACATTCTTCCTGTCCATCTTCTTGTCCATCCTGTTCTCTCACGTTCTTTCTTTCCGTCTTGCCCCTCTTTCTGTGTTTTCTAGGATGACTACTAAAGGGTATACGATACGAACTCGCTCGCGCTTAGACGTCGGCGTCGCACGAGATCTCTGAACGGCGGGGTTCGTAGGCAAGAACGATCGAGGAGTAGACGCGTAGAAATCGTTGAAAATGAAATCCCGAGATAGTCTGAGAGTTGGCCCGACACAGCTTCTTGTGCTCGATCGATCTTCGATTCGATCTTCCGCGCTGGAATTCGAAGGAAGAAAAAAAAAAAAAAAAAAAAAAATACGATCCCGGATAAAAAGGAAAGGCGGCTTGTTCTTGCTTCGTTTCGGCGACTACTCGTCCGTACCTCGTATCGTTCTTCGATTGTCGAGGATCGAGGGTTCCATTTCGCGAAAAGTCGTACGCGCCTTAACGTGTAAAATTTTGAAAAATAGCACGATCTTTCCGAAAGAAAGAAAACATTCGCAAACACGCACACACGCCTGTCACACGTCCTCTCTCGCAGATCTTCTCGTCCTCGTTCCGCTCCGAACGAAGTTTAACACAGGCACACACATACACACACAGACTCTCTTCCCAAATTTAATGAATTTCACGGTAGAGTGTCGTCATTAATTTTTTTTTTTTTTCGTTCCCTAATCTCTAAACCTTATAATTTTTATACTTGGCATACCCCAAATATGGCAGGAAGGCAATCATTACACTTAATAAAGTACAGCAATCGGTTTTGTTCTCCCTTTTGCGTGCTAACTTGCGTTCGAATTGATCGAACAACTTTTGTTTCTCTTTCTCGTTTTTTTCCCGTAAAGACATTTAGTCGTCGTTTTCTCGTCTAGGTCTCGTCCCAGTCGCAGTCGCAGTCGCAGTCGTCGTCGTCGTCGTCGTCGTCGTCGTTGTCGTCTCGATCGACGAACAGTCGGCAAGCGAATTTTGTACATCTTTCTTCGCTTTCGTAAGATTCTTCACGACTACTATTTTTTTTTTCCTTTTTCTCTTTCTCCTTCTTCTTCTTCTTCTTCTTCTTTTTTTTCTGTTTTTTTTTTTTTTTTTTTTTTTTTTTTCTGTTCGGAAGCGCAACGTTTCTCGAATCGATCCTCCCCGTTCTACACGAACGGCTATATAACTCCACCAGTCTCGTCTCACTTTTACAACTCGCGTTTACCTCGGTGTGCGATCTACGTCGCGTTGGAACCGCCGTAACCTCGTCGCGAGAAGTTTTCCCGGCACTGTTGTTGCGTGTTTTCAGTCCGTCTGTACCGGAGAGCGTTGCTCGTACGCGGCAACTGGCTCGTGCCACGAGATCGCTTTCCCAATTACTATACATTTGGCATATTAAACGTACAGGTTATCGTATACAGGCATTGATACTATATATCTATATATATTTATATATATATGTATATATATATATATATATATATGTATATCTCGAGTCTGCCTGTGAGAGGGCGTGTGCTCTCTCGCGGAGCACGCGAATCTCCTCTCTCTCGTTTCTTCTACTCGCGCGCGTCTGCGAAGCCCGATGTGGCTTTCGCGGCGCAACAACCCATCTCGTCGAACGAGAACTGTCCACTGCGAGAAACAGATTCTGCTCGTCGAGCAGAGTTTATTTTAAAATAGACGGCCTTCGAGACTGCGTCGGAGTCGGTCAAGCGATCGCGATCGATGCCCCAATGTCGGGTGGGAGTTTTGCTTTGACAATGTGAGATTCGAGGATCGAGCATCGATCGTGGCCCTCTGTGCGTTGCCCTTCCCGATGGCTCGCCGGTCACTCCTCTTTCTCTTTCTTCCCTTCTCTCTCTCAATCGTTCTGTTCCCTTCTATTTCTGCCCGTTTTGATTCTAACTCTCGAGCGATCTTGGCGCCAGATCGCTCGTCTGGTGTACACTGCTCTGCTATCGTCGCGAGGACGAATAGTCGGTCGGTCGGTCGGTCGGTCGGTCTGTCTGTCTGTCTGTCTGTTTGTTTGTTTGTCGGTCGATGTGTTCGATCGGTGTAAGTCGGTCGGAATACGGAGCGTATTCGTGACTGGAAGCACGGGTAGCTCGACTCGCCTGCTCGATTCGCGAAGCTTGCGAGATCTCTTCGCGAGCGAGCGAACGAATCGATCACCGCGGCTGAGCGTGTCCGAATAATCAGTCCGTATAGCGAGCGCCGCCTTTCTCGGTGACCCGACGTTTTGCGAGAAGCCAGCTGAGATCGTGACGGATCGTCAGACACCCCGCTCTCTCTCTCTCTCTCTCTCTCTCTATCTCTCTCTATCTCTCTATCTCTCTCTATCTCTGTCTGTCGATCCAACGGGCCAGCAACGATTAGCTCGTTCGATATCGAGCGGCTGCCGCTTACTATTCGCAACGCGAGTCCGTTAGCGGCTCCAGCTTGACGGGGATCTTGTCCTTGTCCTTGAGCCCGTGAGGGCTCTTCACGAGATCCGCGATGTCCTCCTGGAAGAGATTCTCCGGCCGCGGGCTGACGAAGCTCCGCGCGGGCTTGTAGGTCATGCCGCTGACACCGATGCCGACCTCCACGCTGCTGGGTATGTGGCCAGGGTCCATGAGAGGGCCGAGCGGACTCGCCAACGGGCTCTCCATCGGGCTCTCCGGCGGGCCGCCAGATCCCGGACTGGCCAGGCCGAGATTCAACGGCGAGTTGCCGCTGTTTCCGCCGCCCATGATCCCGCTCCCATTGTTGCTGCCGATCACCGGGCCGCCGCTGTTGTTGCTGTTGTGATGATGCTGGCTGGCCTGCATAGCTGCCTGCAGATTCGACGAGAGGCTGGTCGACAGGTTCGCCGACAGGTTCGTCGACAGGTTGGTCGCCATCATGTCGTGCTGCTGCGAGTGCGCCGCCGCCACCATGCTGCACATCTGATGCCGCAGCCCTGTACAACACCAACATGTCCGGGACAATCCCGGAGAGATACATGTATATGTATATTAATGCTCGTCGCTTCTTCTCTGCGTGGCTCGCCACCGAGA